TATATATATATCTGCTGCTGCTGCTGCTGCTGCTGCTGCAGCTGCGGGGTCGTGGATGGAGCGAAGGTGCCGCCGATTTGCTGCTGGGGGAGTTTGGCTGGCTCACCGTAACGGGGGCGGGAACACTCTCCCTCTCGCTGCTGCTGCCAGACCAGGTTTGCTGCTGCTGCTGCTGCTGCTGCTGCTGCTGTTGCTGCTGCTGCTGTTTGTGCGGATGCTGCTGTTTGTGCTGCTGCTGCTGTTCGTGCTGCTGCTGTTGCTGCTGCTGTTTTATACTTACGGGGGCGGTGGCGGTGTATATGTATTATGGCTGCTGCTGCTCACCTGCTGCTGCTGCTGCTGCTGCTGTTGCTGCTGCAGCTGCTGTTTCTGTTGCTAAACTATCTACTAGTGTCTAGGATATATCTAGGGTTTAGGGTTTAGGGTTTAGGGTTTAGGGTTTGTGTTTCAGGTGCAGTGGCGTGTAAGAGAGGAGAGTCTGCTCCCCCGGCCTTTGCTGCTCTGCCCCACCCAAACAGCTGCAGCATTCAGACGCAAGTGCATGCAGCTGCAGCAGCAGCAGCAGCAGCAGCAGTAGCAGCAGCAGCAGCAGCAGCGGCAGCAGCGGCAAAAGCAGAACTAGCAGCAGCAAGCAGCAGCAGCAGCAGCAGCAAGAAGCAGCAGCAGCGAAAAGCAACACAACCAACGGTGGTTTTATGTATCCTGCTAGCTGCCGTTTGGTGTTTAGGATTAGCAGCAGCAGCAGCTGCTGCTGCTGCTGCTGCAGCAGCAGCAGAAACGATAGAACAGTAACAGCGAAAAGCAGCAGCAGAGCCAGGTGGGCTCACAGGTGTATCGCTTGCTGTTGTTTAGGGTTTTACTAGGGTTTAGGGTTTAGGGTTTTACTAGGGTTTAGGGTTTAGGGTTTAAGGTTTTCTTAGAGTTTCGCGTTTCGGGTTTAGGGTTTAGGGTTTGACTAGGGTCTAGGGTTTAGGGCTTAGGGTTTAGGGTTTTCCTAGGGTTTAGGGTTTAGGGTTTAGGGTTTAGGGTCTGAGAGAGAGTTGAGTAAGCCTTAATAAAATACAAACAAAGGACGCTGTGGCTCTAAACCACCAACCCCTCCCCATAAAGGGTTTATGAGGGTTTAGGGTTTAGGGTTTAGGGTTTAGGGTTTAGGGTTTAGGGTTTGGTGCCGCAGCCCACCCTCCCCTCCTACCCCCCAAATAGTATAACACTCGACCATAAACCCTAGATTAGGGTTTAGGGTTTCACGGAATAGAACTATGTAAACCCTAAACCCTAAATTAGGGTTTAGGGTTTAGGGTTTACACAATACAACAACCCTATATTAATCTCCACATACATACAGATCAAAACCCTCGATTAGGGTTTAGGGTTTATTAGGGTTTAGGGTTTACACTTACACGCCTGGGTTGTTGTGGTTGCTGAACACAGATCTACTAATACCCCTAAACCCTAGATTAGGGTTTAGGGTTTAGGGTTTAGGGTTTTACATTCATACAAACCCTCAATCCGTCTGTATATACAAACAACCAACTCAGGTGTATAGAGAACGGCATACGATGCGAGTTGCTGCTGCTGCTGCTGCTGCTGCAACGCTGCTGCTGCTACTGCAGCAGCTGCTGCTGCTGCTGCAACGGCTGCTGCTGCTGCTGCTGCTGCTGCAGCAGCAGCAGCAAGTTTCTACGCTGCGGCTGTACATACAAATTCAAATAACTGGGGTTTGTAAACCCTTAAGCAGTGTGAGTGCTGCTGCTGCTGCTGCTGCTCTCAGCTGCTTCTGTGCTGCTGCTGCTGCTGCTGCTCTCTGCTGCTTCGGTGCTGCTGCTGCTGCTGCTCTCTTCCTCAGATGCTGCAGTGCTGCTGCTGCTGCTGTCTTCCTCAGCTTCCTCGGTGCTGCTGCTGTGGAGGATAGCAGCAAGAGTAGTAGACTCCTCTTCTGCTGCTGGTGCTGCTGTTGTTGTGCTGCTGCTGCTGCTGCTGCTCTCTTCTGCAGCACGCAGACTGCGTCTTGCTGCTTCGGTGCTGCTGCTGCTGCTGCTGCTTTCTTCCTCAGCTGCTTCGGTGCTGCTGCTGCTGCTGCTCTCTTCCTCAGCTGCTTCGGTGCTGCTGCTGCTGCTGCTGTGCTCACCGGCTTCGGTGCTGCTGCTGCTGCTGCTGCTCTCTGCTGCTTCTGTGCTGCTGCTCTCGAGGAAGCCAGCAGCAACTGTAGTTGGTGCTGCAGTTGAAGTGCTGCTGCTGCTGCTGCTGCTGCTGCTGCTGCTTTCTTCTTCTTCTCCTAGGCGGCGAGCTGCAACGCTGCTGCTGCTGCTGCTGTGTTCTGCTGCTTCAGTGCTGCTGCTGCTGCTGCTTTCTTCCTCAGCTGCTTCGGTGCTGCTGCTGCTGTGCTCTGCTTCTTCCGTGCTGCTGCTGCTGCTGCTGCTGCTGCTGTGTTCTGCTGCTTCGGTGCTGCTGCTGCTGAGGATGCCAGCGAGGGTGCTGGAGAGCTCTGCAGGTGCTGCTGTTGTGGTGCTGCTGCTGCTGCTGCTGCTGCTTTCTTCTTCTTCTTCTCTCTCTTCTTCTTCTTCTGCGCTGAGACGGCGGCGGGGGGCTTCCGTGCTGCTGCTGCTGCTGCTGCTGCTGCTGCTTTCTTCCTCAGCTGCTGCACTGCTGCTGCTGCCGAGGTGTTCTGCTGCTTCTGTGCTGCTGCTGCTGCTGCTGCTGCTGTCAGCTTCCTCAGTGCTGCTGCTGCTGCTGCTGAGGTGTTCTGCTTCGAGTGTAGAAGAAGCTGCTGCTCCCTCTTCTGGTGCTGCAGTAGAAGTGCTGCTGCTGCTGCTGCTGCTGCTGCTGCTGTCTTCTTCTCTCTTCTCTATTTTTTCTTTTTCTCTTTCTTCTCTGCTTTCTCTGATTCCTTGTCCTGCTGCAGTTTCTTCTTCTTCGTCGCTATCCTCCTCCTCATCATCATCATCATCGCTGCTGCTGCTGCTGCTGCTGTCATCATCATCCGTGCTGCTGCTGCTGCTGCTGCTGTTGCTGCTGCTGTGCTTCTGCTCGTATTCACGGATCGCTTGTCTCAGCTGCTGCAGCTGCTGCTCAAAGGCACCGCTATCCACATACTGCTGCAGCTGCTGCTCTATCTGTTGTATGTAATGTTTGTATCTGCGGATGAATGCGCGGAACGCCAGTATTGCTTCTTCTTCATTAATATCTAATTCTCCAAGTTGCTGCTGCAGCTTAGATAGAGCGTTGTTCTCTGCTTCGCTGCTGCTGCTGCTGCTGCTGCTGCTGCTGAGGTCGCCGTCTGTGTCTGCTTCTATCAGCTCAATGTCAAGCACTGCCGGGGCAGCTGCATCTTCATCAGCAGCAGAAGAAGAACCTTCTTCTGTGCTGCTGCTGCTGCTGCTGCTGCTGCTGCTGTCGAGGAGACTGCTGCTGCTGCTGCTGCTGCTGTCGCCTGCTAGTGCTGGCAGCGTAGAGAGAAGTTCTGCTGCAGCAGAAGAAGATTCGTCCAAAAGAGAAGCAGCAAGGGTGCTGCTGCTGCTGAGCTCCTCAAGAGAAAGGGGGCTAGCAGTGGTTGTGCTGCTGATGCTGCTGATGCTGCCGTTCTCGCTGCTGCTGTTGCTGCTGAGGCTGCTGCTGCTGCTCTCATCGAGCCGCTGCAGCACACGCAGCAAAGCTGCGTCCTCTGTAAGCCTGCGGCTGGCGCTGCCGCGGCTGCTAGCTAGGAGGCTGCTGAGGTGCTGCCCGGGCAGTCTGCTGGGCCTGCTGCTGCCGCTGCTGCTGCTGCTGCCGCTGCTGTCGCTGCTGCTGTTGATAAGGTTAGAGAGTCTGTCTCCAACGTTATCTAAGCCGCTGCTGGTGCTGCTGCTGACCTCATTCAGCAGCTCATCGCGTGCTGCTGGGGAGAGAGACAGCCAGAAGGTGTTTATACTAGAGAGAGCAACTGCTGCTAGCTCTATAGTAGCGGGCTCATCAAGAGCTGCATCGACAGCAGATTCATCTCTGCTACCCCAGCTTATGTTGTTGCGGTTGCTGCTGCTGCCGCNAGAGCTGCATCGACAGCAGATTCATCTCTGCTACCCCAGCTTATGTTGTTGCGGTTGCTGCTGCTGCCGCCGCCCAGGTTGCTGCTGCTGCTGCTGCTGCTGCTGCCGCTGCTGCCGGGACGCAGTCCTGAGAGAGATCCTCTCAAGCCAAAGGGACGGTTCGAAGCAGAAGGAAACTCATTCCTGTTGCTGCCTCCTGCTGCTGCTGCTGCTGCTGCAGCAGGACCACTGGTCAAAGCGGTTACCGCTATAAGGGCGCCGATGCCCTTGAGGAGTAAGAGAGCCATTTCGGGTGTATAGGCAGCTCTAGGAGGCAGCAAATATCGGAATATAAGAAAGCAACAGAAAGCAAAAATAGAACACACAACAACAAATGAATTAAACAAGAAAGAAAAAGCAGAACAGAGATGAAGCGCTGCAGCAGCCAGCTGCTCGCTGCGTGCTGCTGGGGGAGTGACCCGTGCAACAGCTGTTCGCTAGTACATAGCTCGGGTCGATATATGAAAGCAAACAAGAAAATATATGCTTTTTAATCATTTTTTATGCTTTTTTTATTCTATATTATTTTATTTTATACCCAGTTCCATGCAAAACGCATTTATTCCTCCATAGATCACCCTGTTTCTCATCGATCGAGCCGCACACGCACACCACACCAGAAACACCGCTAGACGCCTGCAGTATAAAAAAAAGAGAAAATTCATTTTTATAAACGCCAAATCTAATTAAATTAATATTTTATTCTTTTTATTCAGATTATATGCTTTTTAATGAGGGGTTATACACCCTATTATACACCATTCTTTTATTCTTTTCCTTTTTCTGGTTTCTGCACGATCGCCGTCTTGGCGAGCACGCACAGAGGCTTCCTTTCTGCTTCGCTGCTGCTGCATTTTTTTTTGTTTTTTTTTCTTTTTTTTTCAATTATATTATTTTATTTAATTATTTTAAGTTATTTCATTCAATAATATCCCTTTTTCCACCGTTTTATATTCATGGTTTCCNTTATTTAATTATTTTAAGTTATTTCATTCAATAATATCCCTTTTTCCACCGTTTTATATTCATGGTTTCCTCTGCTGCAACAACCTGTATGTCGGCGGCGGCCAGTAAGCTTAGATAAACACCCCGCGCGTTTCAGGTGTATGTACACCTCAAAAAAAATTATTTAAAAATTTATATAATACTGAAGCAATATCAACAGATTCAGATAAATTGCTGCTGCTGCTGCTTTTGCTGCCGATACTGCTGCTGCTGCTCCTGCTGCTGCTGCTGCTGCTGCTGCTGCTGCTCTAGAGTCGCTTCATTTGTTCTTGCATCATCAACAAACACAACCCTAAACCCTAAACCCTAAACCCTATAAAAATAAAAAAAGGAAAAGGAGCAGCAAAGAGCTCTGGGGCTCTCCGGGTTGTAACCCTAAACCCTAAACCCTAAACCCTAAACCCTTAGTTTAAAAGAAATCTTACATACTAACCCTAAACCCTAAACCCTAAACCCTAAACCCTAACTGCCTAATCAAAAGCCCTGAATGCTAAACCCTAAACCCTAGAAAATAAACCCTAATTAGTAAACCCTAATTCCTAAATAAGAAACCCGAGAAACTGAAGCCGAGTAAACCCTGTCTTCTATCGAGTAACCCTAAACCCTAAACCCTAAACCCTAAACCCTAAACCCTAAACGCTGAGCCTTTCTGTACATTTGAGGGCTTGTAGTGGATTAGGATACGTCTTTTGTTTTATATTTCATCTCCTTCTTCTTTTTATTTCTTTTTTTTATTTTTATAAATGTTGTTTTTTGTTGGGGTGTATAGGCAGCTCTATAGGGGCGGCCTTCATAAACCCTAAACCCTCATCATATACACCCCAAACAACAAAATATAACAAAACAAAACCTTAAACTATTCTAAATTAAACCTTTCTAGGGTTTAGGGTTTAGGGTTTAGGGTTTAGAGTTTAGGGTTTAGGGTTTAGGGTTTAGGGTTTAGGGTTTAGGGTTTAGGGTAACAGAGAAAAGAACGGATGCAAATCTATAATAAACAAAAAAAAATAATTTTTATTTTTTATTTAATTCTCTTTAGGTTACTAAATATATTATTTATTTATATTATACTCCTTTGTTTATATTCTTGTTTATAAATATATATATATATATATATA